CTCGGGTTCTTAATAGGGAGCTCGGACTCCCAGTAGGGAGCTCGGACTCTTGGTAGGGAGCTTGGGCTCCTAGTAGAGAGTCCGGTCTGGTGGAGTTCGGGCTCAGTAGTGAGTTTGGACTTCGTTACTTTCGGTGCTCGTTTTGGGCGCTCTGCTGTCCCGAGTTGCTTGCTTTTGCCACGTGTCGGGTGATTGCGAGGTCGGGCCAAATTTCCCTTCATCAGAAGGTTTAAACTGAATTTTGATGGGAGTTCATTTGGCAATCTGGCGTAATTAGGTATAGGGGAGCTTTAAGAGATGAAGAAGGAAAAAATCATTGCTCTATACTTGGGACCAATAGGCATGGGATACTTGTTAAGAGTTAAGGTGTTGGCCCTCCTTCAAGGGTTGAGATTGGTTAAACAATTGGGATTCCATCAAATTGAAGTGGAGGGGTACTCAAAGCTGGTGATAGGCTAGATGCAGGAAGGAAGTCTGGGAATCTGGATCCATAGACATGCCATGCCTAAAAAAATCATTGATCTATACTTGGGACCAATAGGCATGGGATACTTGATTAGAGTTAAGGTGTTGGCCCTCCTTCAAGGGTTGAGATTGGTTAAACAATTGGGACTCCATCAAATTGAAGTGGAGGGGTACTCAAAGCTTGTGATAGGCTAGATGCAGGAAGGAAGTCTAGGAATCTGGATCCATAGACAAGCCATGCCTGAAATTTGGTGGCTAACAAGGGAAATTGATATATTATCAAAAAAAAAAACAAAAAGTAAAGGGAATTGATGGATTAGTCAAACAAGGGTCAACCAGGGAACTTTTTTGGGCAGCACTGTGATAGTGGATGTCTTTGTAGGGTAGCATCCATAAAATGGGGTGCTTTTTCTGTATTTTTTATTAATCATTAAATGAACGTTACCATTTCCAATTAAAATGATTGTGCTTTAAATTCCAGTTATTTGACAAATCAATAATATCAAGAAGTGAAAAGGATGGTCATGTGTATGAAAATGGAACCAGTTATGGGCAAGAAAGGGGTGTATTGGATGGGGTAACATGAATTTATAGAGATGATTTGGGGGGGTGGGGGGGTTGATACTTACACTATGGAAGAAAAGGTAGAGGTGGGTGGAGGTCAAAGGAAAGAGGTTGAGGTGTTGAAAGGGAGAGGAAGAGAAGACTCTTAAAAATTTAAGTATGTAACAAGATTAATTGACGAGTTCATGAATGTGCATCAGAGGTTGTGTGGGTGATGTGGTTAGGTTAGAGAAGGAGGGTATTGAGTATGGGGTTGATACCATACTTATTGATAAGGTGTTCAAGAAATGAGAAAGTGGTGTTCAATAGGGTAACTGTGAAAGCAGTAGACATGAGTAGGAGACTGTGTTTGTACTTTGTAGGAGGTGAAGACTCTGCAAGGACAACTTTCTTGGAGCTATAAGAGAAAGGGAGAAAGAAGAAAAAAAGGTAATACAGGTTTGGATTTGGAGATGTTTAAAAAGGGATTTGGTTATTAATGGAGGGTTGTGAAGTCTTATTGGGGGGTGGTCAGTGGTGTTAAGAGGTGTTTGAATGTGCAAGGTGGTGTGAGTCGTGTGACTGATCAGTTGGGCACAAGGATAAAGGTGGGAGGGGGTTTTGTTGGGTGATGGTTGTACTTCTACATCTTACTTTTTGGTAGGTGGCAGGGTAGTGAGTGGTGAGGGTGCTTAAGTTGGGTTCTCTTTGGGTTCTTCTTGCCTCAGTGATATTTCTTCATCCGGCGTTGTATTTTGTCCTTATTGTTTTTGGTAAAAATTTATATACTCAAGAAAGAAAATCAAGGTGTTCAGGATAGGCAATGCGATGTCTTGACTCTTGGCAACTATGCCTAGATCCTTAATTTCAAATTTAGAAGCCAGGGCTTCCCTTAAGTTGTCTATCTTAGTAGGATGTTTCCATGTAACCAGAATGCCGTCGTTATTCTAATCATGATTGTTTAGGAGTCATCACCCCTCTTTACCAACAATTGCTTCAGCCCATATATTGACTTCTTTAGCATGCACACTTTTTTCTTGTAATCCTTGTTCAACTAGTTCAACTCCTGGAGGTAACTATACATACACCTGTTTTGGGACTTTTGGGATAGCTCCATTCAATAATGCATTTTTGATATGTAGTTGCTAGAGGAAAAATAATAATAAGCAGCTAGAGGAAGCAGAATATGGATCGAGTTTATTTATGTCACTAGTGTGAGCATGTCTTGATAGTAAACCTCATAGATCTATTTATACCCCTTCGCAATCAGCCTTGCTTTGTATCTCTCTATGGATCCATTAGCTTTATACTTCACAATAATGTTCCACTTAGAGCTGACTGGTTTTTTATCCTGAGGAAGATTGATGA